TTCCACACAACTTTTTTGATACATGATTCCTTTTTCATCATAAAATCTCTTTATTTCAAATTCTCTTCCGTTATTAGTTTTAATTACTCTTACTTTCTTATCAAATTGAGTCTCAACAAAGGTGTAAAAATGTTACAAATGTAAACTTGTTTCAACCGTACTTTGCATCATATATACCCAAATATATCTAGTAAAATCATCAATAATTGTTAAAAAATATCTTAAACCATCATAAGAAATTTCATTACAAGATCCCCAAGTATCGCAATGTATTAAATCAAAACATTGTTATTCTTTATTACTACTATAAAAAAATGAAAGTTCATGCATCTTTGCCAATGGATGTACATAACATAACTTAGACTCTTTGTTTGCTAACATATCAAAATCAAAATAAGATTTGAATGAAGGGTGTCCAAGCTTGTAGTGTCACAAATCAAAGTCTCTCTCTTCTTTACTGGAGCTTTGTAGTGTCATTCCTGCAAAGATTTGTTGACTTGCATTTTCTAAATCCTTGAGTTGTCTAAGTTGATATAGTCCATCCTTAATCTCGTCCATCTCAAGTGTCCTCCAGGTTAAAAGGTCATGAATGACACCATGTTGTTGTAAAAAGATTAGACAACACCTAATATCCTATGTTAACCTTCTTGCAGATATTAAATTAAATCTAAATGAGGGCACACACAGCACATTGTTTAATACAAGTTTATCACTTAATTTTACTACTTCTACATGAGACACATCTATACTTTCTCCATTCGGTAATACAAATTTAGATTTACTATTCGATGTTATCTTAGTATATAATTGTGGTGTGTGTACTATATGATCTAAGGCCTAGTATTAATTATCCAAGTGGTGTGTGTGTTGATATTTCTATATATTATGCATACATTGAAACAAGAAAACATACCAGAGAATGTAGTGAGTTTCTGATCCTGAGTTTTCTTTGAAGTTNNNNTTTATACTAAAGCTATAGCTCGTAATGACAGACTTCAAAGAAATTTCTCTTATTTTCTCCTCTTATTGGATGATAGAAAATGCATCTTTCAGATTAGGGAGAGACTTCCTTACCAAGATTTAGGACGTCAAGTTGTCATATGACTCATTAAGTCCCATTAAAAACCTCATTGTGTGATCCCTCTCCTAGTACCCAATAATCGGTTTAAGTCCCCCACATGTACAGATGGGGATGAGTTTATAATTTACAAGTTCATCAATCATAAATTTGAGCTTTGAAAAATAAGCCCATACTGGATCTTGGTTTTACATGAGTGCAGATATCGACTGCTTAATTTGATACACCCTAGTTGCATTTTGTTCATAATGTCTTTGTTCTAGTTCATGCCATAGCTAATGTGCTGTTTGAGAATAAAATGTGTCGGTCTTAATATCAAGTGATAGTGTATTTTGTATCAAAATAATCATCATATCATTGCACCATTTCTAGTGCATTCTCAATGGGTCCGTTGGATCCGTAGGTTGTGTTAGAGTTCCATCTATAAACCTATCTTGTTTGGTATACTCAATGCTCGCGCCATGAATTTTTTTATGTGTAATAGTTGTTATCATTAAGCAGTTCCAAGATAAAAACTGTCGTAGAATTCAGTGATTTATCAAGATAATACGGGTTGTTGACAGTTGAGTGGTCCAGTTTGTTATGGCCAAATCTCTAAAGTTTGGGTTCGTGTTTGCAGTGGTTTGGTAAGAATTTTTGCTCCTCATTCCTAATAAGCTCTGATACCATGAAAGAAAATAAATTTCACAAATCAAACTATCTAGAAATCAATGTTTTGTATAAAAAATAACAAGTAAAGTTGAAGGAAAATACTGGATTACGCAGTTGATCCTTGGTGAGAGCAGAAGGTGCAGAAGTGAGTGAACAGAGATAAAAACTCGACGAAGGTAGAAGACATAAAAGTGAGTGAACGGAGAGAGAAACTCAGTAAGACAAAAGGTGCGGAAGTGAGTGAACAGAGAGAGAAGCTCTTCATGGGAATGGGTGTGCAATGTGTGTATGTATTCACCTACAAACAACCAGAAATAAAATGCAAGAAAGCAAAGCAAACTAGAAGCTTTCGGTGTTTATCGACGGTAGTAGAGAGGAGAGAATTAGGGTTTCTCGGGGAAGAAGATGGGTTTAAATACTCGTCCTGTCCCCGAGCTTACTTGAGCTCGAACGCACCGGATCACTCTTTAGTGAACCGATGTATTTTGGTCTTTTATCACATGGGCCGAGTCAGCTTGCTTTCTATAGGCCCGATAACATGAATCAAATAATTTTTGAATCAAAACATGTGATTTATTCTTATCCCCAAAAGAATACTCTTAATCTCTCTTTTGGTTCTGACTGCGACTTATCAATTAGTATCAGAGTCATGATCGCAAAAAAAAAAAGTAGAAAACTTGAAAATTAGTTTGGAAGGGCTATATGATAGTTTGAGCAGAATGGAGTTGGGTTTCATTGACATATTTCACCAGCTCGAGGACACCCTCCAATAGTTCACCAACGGTTTGGTGTTAACAAAGAAGGATAAATAACAATGCCACAGGCCAACTGGGTCAAACAAAACGCAACAATGGCACGAAAAAAAGCAACGGGGGCCAACCACCCTTCTATTCTAAAGCTAAAACATTTGCTTATACGGGAGAGATATAAAGATCTATTGTAGTACGGATGAGGTTGGTTGCACAACATCTTTTTGCAACTCAAAGCCTTAAGTTATTATCTTTTTCAATCATATATCAATCTTAATCACCACTGAATTCTGCTTGGGTTTCACTTGTGTATCAGAATAGTAGATTTCTCTTTTCCTTGAGTATTGACCAAAATGGGTATACCCAGCAAGAGAGTGTTACCCTTGGGAATTGTAATATTAAAATATTAGATCAGTCTTCTGTAGGTTTTGGTAAAAGTGATGGCATCTAGATAGAATCTCTTACACATAGAAATGGAGACACTAGTGAAAAAGGTAATCTCCAGATTGATAATATTGATAAAAAGAATGTTATTTTTGAACAGTTTTTTGCGAGCTTTAATCATGCCCAGACGTAGATTGTTAGTATTGATGATAGTTTAGCGGAGGTGTATAAGATTGACAAGGAGAAACTGGAGAATCTCTTATCTCTTTTTTAGAGCTCCGTTGATGATTCTCTAGCGTCCAACCTTGATAGTATGAGTTTGGACTTACATCAAGAATTTATTGTTAAAGTGCTTAGAACTTTATATGTTTTGGGAGAGAATTTGATTGGATTTTTCAAGTGGGCAATGAAAAAGTCAGAGTTCAAATTGAACTGGCCTATTGTGGAATAGAAACAAAGAACAGAAAAGACCAAGAAGGGAGAAAAGGAAACTAAGGGAGAGGACCAGAAAAACAAAAAAAAAACTTGGGAAAACAAGGGAGAAACATAAAATAAAGAAACATAGACCTTAAATGAGAGGCAAGGGATCTAGAAAAGGGACGATGTGCAGTAGTCATACATTACAACAGGTGCTACATGCATATATAGGGGGTGTATGTGTGTATGTATATTAAGGTTCAGATGTCTTCATTTTCATGCAATTGATTAGATGGTGAAGATGATTTTTACCTATGAAGTTTGGATGGAGAGGGTTGTTACTTATGTAGAACTGATTTTAATGCCTCCATGAAGGAACAAAATTTTTAAGTCTCCAACTCTACTTTAGTTTGCTGATAAAATACAAGTAGGAGATAGTAATTATTTATCGCCAATGGAAGGATATTACAAGCAACAGTTGTATCAAAATTGTAAATATGTTATATAGGGTATTTAAATGCTTTTAGTAAGATCCAAAAATTAGACTCATCATGGATGAGGTCTTAGACGAATTAAAAAAAAAAAAATCAAAACGGTGAGAAAGATGCCTGAAGAAGATACCATATGGGAAACTACTATAGAGTTGCGAGAAAACTCAGCTATCTGAACCTTGATGATAAGGTTCCTAAAAAAGAGGAATGTTACACTATGACATTTTCACTAAAAGTCAAGAGTAAACCCAAAGTACTTATAGCAGTAGAACGTGAGGAACTAACCATTGCGGTAGATTCTGTTAACAAGTAGTTGAAGCTATTATCCCATTTTCAAGTTCATATTCTTTAAAAGTAGAAACCATCAATTATGTTTTTCATATATTCAAAGCTATTAATGACCATTAATGAATCAAACAATTTTTGAATCAAAACCTGTGGTTTATTCTTATCTCCAAAAGAATACTCTTAATCATTATTTTAGTTTTGACGGAGACCTATAAAAAAATAAATAAATTTTTTCAAAAAATATTTTATATCAATACAAGAAACTTGTAACAAAAAAAAAAAGTTAAATGATACTCTTGCTAAAATAAAAAGTAGAAGTATATGGGAAAATTAATCTTTTTTCTGGTTAATAACTAAATTAAAAGAATAAAGTGTTTGAAGATACATAAATAAATAATCTATAAGCAAAAAGGATATATATATATATATATATATATGTGTGTATATATATATATAATGGGGTTGAAAAAGTCAATACTTTTGCAGAAATCAAAGCATGATGGAAAGTGATGAGATGAATATGACATGGGTGTATGTATGTATAAGTCACATAGAATGGAATAACGGCTAAAATTAAATACCCAAAAAAAGGAAAAAGCAAGTGAGAAAACAATCAGAATGTTTGGCCACACACACAAAGCATAATCATATCCCTTCCATTTACTCAAACCCTCTTCATATTTCCCCCATTTCTACACCTCTCTTTCTTCCTCTCCAATTCTTCATATGTACACACAGACACACACTGAAACACATATGTATGAACTTTTTAAGATAAAAAAAATCTATGTATTTTATTAATTATATACTAATTATCATATCAGGAACTTAAACCTATAACCTAAATGGAGAGAAGTAAAAATTATCCCAACTAAGTGTTTGTTGATTATATGTATGTATAGTTAATATTGATTATGGGAAAAAAGAAATGAAGTGATGAGAATGATATATCTTCATTTGCCATATATAGGCTACGTACGCATATACATATACATTAATCTCTCATGTTGCTAATTGATTCCTAAGCTTACACAAGAAAGACAGGGATAGCTAAATAATAATACTAGATAAGACAAGAGAGAAGATAAAGAGCTGAAATTTCTCATAATAAATCCCAAAAATGAGTATGTATATATATATATCTCTATGTAGAAGTAACATAACAAAGCTCCATAGACCCATAATCAAGAAGCTCCTCAATCATCTGCTGAACATGATCTTCTTCAAGTTCCTTCAACTGTACTTGACTATTGCTCTGACTTTCCTCCCTACCGTTACCCTTTTCACTGCTCTTCCCGGCCATGCCGCCATTGTTGGCGAACCGGGTGTAGCGTGGTTCATGATGAGACTTTTTGTTGGGGACTTGAAGAGACGCCATGTGACATTTATGTAGCTTGGCTGCTAAAGTTGCAGAGAGAAGCTTAGAGGAAGAAGAAGAAGAAGAGTTGATGGGATCGTATGGGAAATTTGTGCGAGCTTTTGATCCGCACATGAGCCTTGCTGCCTCGTCGTATGCTCTTGCTGCATCCTCGGCTGTCTCGAACGTGCCTAGCCATATTCTTGTCTTCCTGCAAAGAAAAAAAAATAGAAAAAAAAAATCATACCCATATCAGTTAGAAGTAAATATATATGTATATTGATGTAGTAGGAAATGGGTATGTATATAGACGAGGTGAAAGGAAATTACAGGGTAGGGTGGCGGATTTCGGAGACCCAGGAGCCCCAATGTCTTTGACGAACACCGCGGTATCTTTGTTGAGGTCTAGCCATGGCTGTCCAAAGTAGGAAGGTTGAGGGAGAGGAAAACTGTTCGTGATACGTGTGAGAACAGGAGGAAAATGCAGAGGACTTCAAAGGCTATATATATAATATATGTATAGTGTTTATTGCGGCCTTTTACCAATCAATAGTTTTGCACATTGCTGTCAGGACCCACCTCGTACACAATTTTTTTTTTTTTCTTTTGTCATTTTGCTCATCTTTCTTCTTCCTCTTCTTCTTCCTTCTTTTCTGTCTGATAATCCTTTTTCCAGGGTTAATAAAAAAGCTTGATTTAACACCTTTGCTTCTATTATATGAACCCTGCTTGGCACGTAGCTATATACATACATACATATATATATATATATGTGTGTGTTAAAGTTTTTAAAGTACGTGGGTGACATCATATTTACTAAAGATAGGGAGTAGAGAAAGCCATGTTTGATGTAAATTACAAGCTCAGCCTCTGTAATTAAATGCAGTAGCTGCTATATTTGACCAAACATTGCTAGAAATATATAATTAATGAGATTAGATCATCCTTCACATGTCAGTTTGCTATTTACATTACCCAATGCATTATATCATTCAATTTTGTCTTGGGAATTACCATTAGATATGTTATGTTACACAAATTAGGTCATCTATATAAACCCATTTAATTTTCCCCAAAATTAGTTTTTGGGTCTTTTTTTTTTTTAATTTTCTCCTTTCAATTTGAATTTTTCCAACTTGGTATCTTGGAATTGACTTGTTTTAGGTCAAGCCTCTCTCTTTTTTTTTTTTTTTTTGGGTTCATGAAATTGGGTTGCATAGATATGGTGGGTATATAGATATAGTGCTGATTTTACTTCTCTGGTGCAGGGCACCAATACCCATCTTGTTCGAGCAGAAAAATTAAGACATCATAAGGTTTTTGAGTAGCTAAAACAAGATCAATACCAATAGATTCATTCAATTACAAATATATTATTCAATTACAAATTTTGAAAGGTAAGAAATAACTTGTAAAGAAAGATCAGAAGAATTTTGAGACCCTTTGTAACTATTATATTATTATAGATATCTCCTAATATAATTATTTTTATTTGTATCATATGTATAATATTATAATTTTTTTAAACAAATAAATAAATAATTCTCTTATATTTTTAATTTATTATGTTTATTTCAATTAAAAAAAATTTATTAACATAAAATATTTTTTTACTTTAAAAATTAATACACTCGATTAAAATTTAATTCAATATATTTAATATATATATATATATATATATATATCGTTATATTAATATTGCATTTAATTAAAAATTATATTAGTGTGTTATTATTATTATTATTTTTAAAATTAAGATCTATTCATTTTTCTTTTTTTGTCATATCAAAATAATAGAAAACAACATATAGATTCATCACTTATTTTTGGTTGAAGCCTATATTTTCATGAACTTGATATATATATATATATATATATATATTAGATATGATTATATTTTGGATGAGTGATGGAATGATTATAGCAACTTCATTTCTCATCAATATCTACACAAGTTCTTGTCTGCCGCCATCAGAATTTAACTTAGAAATGGAGAAAGCGGCTGCTGTCATCATCTTCTTCTTCTTCTTCATTCTTTTTATTATTATTATTACAATAATAATAGTAGATTTATATATAAATTAAAGAGATACCTATACATATTTATTATAACATAAATTTTTATAAACATATATAGAATGCGAATATATAAATTTTTATAATAAAAAAATAATTATTATTATTCAGTCTAAACAAAAATTAAAATTAATTCTTTAATTAAAAAAATAACCATTATATTTTGTTGATTTATAATATTATTATAATTGAAATAGTATATGGGGCAGTGCCACGTAAGTTGCAATCAGAAATTTGTAAACTTTTAAAGATGAATAGATAATTGTTGACGTCAATTACTGACCAAATTGTGTATATATATGTATGTATATACCAAATTTTTTTGGTGTGGTCCAAAACAGGATAACTATACATCGCCTATAAATACATGTTTGCTTACGTCTACCTCCCTGCTCAACTGTTGTTTGGATATCATCAAATCCAATATACATACATACATATATATAATATATATATATAAGATTTAATCCAAAAGAAGAACTGTGTTAAATGTATTGGGCTGGCCGAGCCCAATGATAAAGGCTGAATTGGTCACAACAACTGCTCTCAAGCGTGTGTAAGTATCCACATATGCATATATATATATATATATATATATATATATATATAAAGGGTGTTTGTGCACCACATTTGACCAGAATATATTTCTTGAAAACCCTGTTAGAGTTTTTTTTTGTCTGTCTTGTATTTCTTCTTCGTTTCTTTTGTAAATCTCTAAAATTCGAACTCAGAAATAGTTTGAATAACGAAAGAAGACAAGTGAATGGTTTTGGTCAGCTCAGTGAGCTTTATGGTTGGATATTAAAGGAACAGAATCAAACAATTCAACAACAACATCTCTAACCAAATGAAGAATAAACCGTGCAGCAAAAAGAAGAAAAGAAAAAGGTAATATTGTCTAAGGGAAACATTTAATTTCTCCCAAGAAAACAAAATAACACACACATATATATATATATATATATATATATATATATTCAAAAGGAAAAGGCTCAGTATGTATGTGTGTATATATATATATATATATATATGTATGTAGTTTTTCCATGTTTTAATTTAGGGCTCAAGAGAAAAAGGCAAAGATAAGGCGTGCTAATGTATAATCATAAGTCATATATGAGGCCAAAAAGACAAATTAAAAAGGGATGGCATCCTTTCTTGTGGCATTATTGATGTTTTAAGTATTCTTTTCTTGCTATCTACTCAAAAACTATGATTAAATAAAATATTAATATAAATTTATATATTCTATTAATTGAGAAATAAATATACATAAAATATAAAATAATATGCTATCGAGTCTGATTTAAATTTATAATTTTTATACGTTGCATGTCAACAACAGACAGACTTTCAATCATTTATTCTCGTATCAATGCAAATATGCAAATCCAATCGGTATCTTACTGTATTGGAATTACTCTTTGACGTAATTTTTCTTCAGATTTGTATCGCTATCAGCTCAACATTTGCTTAACAGACTTCTACTACATCACTGCTATGCCAACCTATATTCAACAAAGCTAAAGAGATTATGATAAAAATAAAAATAACATATGTAATAGAAATCTCATATTTATTCCATTGGAGATGTAAATTTTGCACAATCAAAAGCAAAAACTCACTCATCTTTGAATGAATTCAACAAAATTCTATTCTATTACTTACATTTCCCGACACTATTTAACTAAGATGTTTTAAAAAGAGGTTACTAAAAAACTTAGATCAACAACTCTTCCATCTGAAAGAAGAGTTTTGATGATTTTTCTAACTTTAAAATTTGTATTTCATAAAATATAAAAAGTCAAATCTAAAAAAATCACGAAAAAAAGTAACGATTTAAGAAGAACAACTTTCTAATTCGAATAAACCAGTTATAGTGGACAAATTCTCGCACTTCAGTTGCCCTTTTTCCTTTCTTATTGAAAGGTGTCTTGAACTTACTTCGCAGGAGGATTCACATATCGCATTTTTATTTAAGTCATGTAATTTCTTCTGATTTCTGCGCTATAATCTAAAAATGGAGATAATAAGGGAGAAGATGGAGTTCCTCTTTGGAGACTGGAGGTAAGAAAGATATTAAGTTTTCTCTCGGATGTTGTGACTGAAATCGTTTTCTTCTCATCACCTAGGGCCTGACACAACACCCCGCAAAATAAACCACACCAAATAATATAAAAACATCTTGCCCTTTACATATTCATTCACTTGTTGGCTTTGGGAGAAAAACAAAATCATTGACCGACCCACCTTAGTTGCTTCCTTTTCCTAATCTACAACTACACTAGTATGCTGACACAGCAAAACCTAAGTCTGATTCATGTACCAATCAACAGGAACGTAGGGGAAAAAAATGGGTGAGGGAGGAGGTGTTTTCATCCAACCATTTTCATCTTCTTCTTTCCGCAGCTCCAGTAACAAGCAATTTCCTTTTCTACCGCTTGTTCCAACTCGCGGCTTTCCTTTAACCTCAGACTCCTGCGTTATTAAAAGCATGCTTAGTTGCAAGCATCAAAATATTTTGTAACTTGCTTATTAAAAATATATATATTTTGTAACTTGCTGCAGCACAAAATCATCTAATACTCTACCATAATTACATTTGTAATCATGCACATGAACATACCTGTGGCACGTGCAGGAAGATGTAATTCTTTGCTGCAGCTGGGTTATGATTTTCTGCACCCTTACTCCAGTCATAGCAGACCTAAAGAGAAATTTTTTGGCGGTAGAGTGTCAGTCCTGGCCCTTTCTAATTTTATCTTTCAAAATTTAAATCAAAATTAAAGATAGAATCAGCCCTAGGCCTAGACACTTCAATTAAAAAAGAGGAATAACCGATTACGAAAATATATTGCGACACAAACCGAGTATGCAAAAATTGAGCCATCATTGTTGAAGGTACTGCAAGGAATTGGTTGGCTGCACCGTGACATGGCCTGATATCCATGAATAGTTGAATTACACAAAAAGCTACTTCAGATTAAAGAAGAAAATATAATAAAACTGATGCAAATAATAAAAATACTCAGAACAAATTAACAAGAGAAGACAGGATGAGCAGGTGTCCAGGACGCTTGAAGAGGAGGAAAGCCACAAAAAATGAAAACTGGAAGATCAAAATGCAGAAGACAGTTACCAATCCAATGCCAAACCAAAATTTAGAACACCAAAATACAACACACTAGATGCAAATTTAAGTGGCAACAACATAAGGGAAAAAAAAATAAAATTAAATGAAAATGGTGAAGTAAAATGTCAAGATCGCTGATGGCTAAAGCACAATATGAAAGGGCAAACAAGAATTTGCAGATGAGGAAGAATTGTTTTAGTTTATAAAATACATTTTGTGTAATTAAACAACACAAATATGTAAAGCAGACAAAAAAGCAGCAACTCCTCCAGCAATGAAAGCAACAAAACCAACATGAAGCCCCAAGATAAAGGACGATAAGAAAAAAGAGAACCCTGACATGTTTGAATATAGAGAATGGAACATAGAGATACAGGACGTGCAAGATAACAAGCAACATTGAAAAGGGATCTGGAAGCACCTTGAGTCTTTGCTTACTATCCTTGTCCCAGAAATTAAAAGCACCATCTGATCCAGCAGTAGCAAAAGTATGGTGTATCTGAAACAGATGACAGCTATATGAGATTATGAGCTATTAAGAAGTAGCATCTCCTCTAGAGTCTCAGACTGACATATAGTAGACCTGATAATCTAAATCTACAAAAGGAAACCATCTTCACCAAAGTTGATGTAGTTCTCACATATGTGAACCAAAGGTACTTCTAGTTTTGCTCCTCAAACTTTCATGTAGTTCTAACTTACTTGATCTGATGAGTATTCATTTTTTTCCTCAAAGCTCCTCAAATCCCAAATAATCATAATTTTTTTTTTTAAAAATAAAAGAGTAGTATTAATATCAAAAGGTGCTACGGGAGCACCCCCAATGTACATAATTTACATCTCGATTAGCATATCTACAAAATTACCTAAATTATCAAAACAATCAAGGTTATGTCCTAAAATATAAGAGCCAAAAGAGTTAAACAAGTTATCATTGATGATGTTAAAATCAGATTCGACTCCTTCGAAAGCCTGTTTGTTTCTGTACAAAATGAAGGAATAAATTCCAAATTAATTAGGTTTATTTTTCCAGCTATTTTCATTTTGTTTAAAATAAATATATTAGCTATACATTTTCTGTTTTCTGCTGTAAACGGAGGCAGTCACAAAGTTAGTGGAGAATAACTAATTTCGATTTTTCCTCCTCCCCATAATTCTGATAGGAGTTTGTTAAACTTTAGGTTGTATACATACACACATTTGGCGAACGGAAATGATAAGCAGAAGCATTATTTCATCCATTAAATTCTTTATGGTATCAGAGCTTACCTGATCCAAAAGAAAAGAGATCCCTGCTGAGCCAACGTCTCCAATGGCCACGGGTAAGCTTCCGTCTTCTTCACTAGAAGTTTCCTCTGGTTCCTATCATTACACAGCAACCACCAGAGCTGTGAGTGAGATGTCATCGTCCTGTATCACAGGACGCAAACTCGACGGCAGCAACTACTTTCAATGGTCGTCGTCTGTCCGCTTATTCATCAGCGGAAAAGGGCGTTACGAGCACCTCACTGCAAGCTCGTGCCTCCTCCAGCGTCTGACTCAAATGCGCAAGTCTGGGATATTGAAGACAGCATGGTCATGTCCTATCTTATCATCTCGATAACTCCTGAAATCGGAGAGAATTTCCCTCTTTACGAAATTGCCCACGAAATTTGAAAGGCAGTTCAAGAATTTTACTCCAGCAAGGAGAACACCTCGACTATTTTTGAAATCGAATCAACACTCCATGACTTTTGGCAAGGTGAGTTGAACGTCACTCAGTATTACAATCTCCTAACCTGTAATTGGCAGCAAATGGATGTCTTTGAAGAGTGTCGTTGGAGCTGTCCCGAGTACGCGAAAAGCTTCAAAGCTTTCGTTGAAGAGAAGCGAATCTTCAAATTTTTGCTAGGGCTGAACAAGAATCTCGATGAGATTTGGGGACGTGTACTGAACACCAAGCCATTGCTGAGCCTTCCGGAAGCTTTTTCTGAGGTTCGACGTGAGGAGAACCGTCGGAAGGTCATGATGGGAGAGATTGACCAAACTCACCCGACTGAAAATGCTTCATCACTCACGACTCGAGCTGTTGACAGTCGAACGAAGAAGAGGCCCTGGTGCGATCACTGTCGGAAGCTAGGGCACACTTAGGATCGTTGCTGGAAACTTCACGGCAAACCAAGCGACTGGAAACCATCTTCGGCTGAGTGGAAGACGTCGAAGGCAGAGAGCTCCAGCAAGCATCAAGGGAATCACGTTGTTGCTAAGGAAATGTCCCCTGATGCAGTGGAAAAAGACTCATTTATCCTTGAACAGTTGGAAGCCCTCCAACGTATTCTATCCAAGAAATCTTACCCGGTCAGTGCCTCTGTGGCACATAAAGATAATATTCTTGGCTTGTCTGTTTTTTTAAAAAAAAAGGCAGGTGTGGATGGTAAACTCTGGAGCATCTGACCATATGAGTGGAGATGCCTCAATGTTTGAAAATTATAGAAGATGTAAAGAAAATTTTTCAATCAGAATTACAGATGGTTTTCTCTCAAAAGTGGTTGGAATGGGTTCCGTAAATTTGTCTCCAAATTTGACTCTTTGTTCAGTTTTCTATGTTCCAAATTTAGACTATAATTTATTATCAATCAGCAAACTATGTGAAGATTTGAAATGTGCTGCAAAATTTGTTTCTAATATTTGTAATTTTCAAGACTTGAACTCGGGGAGAACGATTAGCAGTGCTAGGATGAGTTTAAGATTATATTTGCTTCAAGTCAATGCTTCTAAAAGACAAGCTCACAATGCAGTATGTGCAAACTCTGTTTCTATTTCTGCAAATAATGATCATGATATTATGTTGTGGCACTATAAACTACGACATCCAAATTTCATGTACTCAAAAAAAATGTTCTCATTACAATTTAAAGAAAAAAATCCAGTTTCATTATATGTTAATTTTCTAAACATATTCGAAGTTCATTTCCTAACTTGCCATACAAACTCTCAAAACCATTTGCATTAATTCATAGTGATGTATGGGGCCCTTCCAGGGTTTCCAACATTTTCGGAACTAGGTGGTTTGTATCTTTTATTGATGACCATACAAGAATCACCTGGGTATTTTTCACGAAAGAAAAATCTGAAGTGAGATCTCTGTTTAAAAAATTCCATACAATAATTCGAACCCAATTTCATGCTACCATCCAAGTGTTGAAATCCGACAATACTTGTGAATATTTTGAAACTACCCTTGAAAAATACTTTATTGAACATGCCATTATTCATCAAAGATCCTATGTCCATACTCCACAGTAAAATGGCATAGCCGAAAAGAAAAATAAACATATCCTTAAGGTTGCCAGATCATTCATGTTCACCACCCATGTCCCAAAATTTCTTTGGGGAGAGGACTGTTCTTTCAGCTACCTATTTGATTAATCGGATGCCCTCCCGTATTTTACAGTTTCAATCACCCTACACTATCCTCTCAAAAGCCTTTCCCGATTCACACATCTTAAACATTTTACCACTTAAAGTCTTTGGGTTGTTCAGCATATGTCCATGTTCATAAACATTTTCATGGAAAATTAGACCCAAGAGCAATAAAATGTATTTTTGTTGGGTACTCTACTAATCAAAAAGGATACAAATGTCTAGTTTCAAACTCCCGCCGTTTTTATAATACAATGGACGTCATATTTTTTGAGAACCAACCATTTTATCCCACTATTGATATTCAGGGGAAAACATTCACTCAGAAATATCAGTTGTGAGATGCGAGTGTACCTCCTCTATACCCACAAAATCCACCACCAGACAAATCTTCCTTGGAACCTGAACCCGAAACCTCACAAAAGAAACCTAAACCAAAACCAGTTACAGAAAACACATTACCTGCAGCGAGTGAGTTACGTGTCTATACAAGAAGAAACAAAGGAAAAGCACCTGAATCATCCCAGCATTGCCATGAATCCACTCTTAATCCAGGTAATGTAATCTCTGTATCAAATCTTGATTTTGATATTCCTATTACTTTGAGAAAGGGTACCCGGACATGCACCAAACATCCTATACAAGATTATATTTTATTGGACAAATTGTCCTCAGAACATCATGCTTTTGCATGCAGGATAGACAGCAGCTCACCAGAACCCAGAACAATACATGAGGCTTTAGAAATTTCAGAATGATAGATATCTTTCCTAGATGAGATCAAAGCACTTGAAAAGAATGAGACATGGGAGCTAACTGATCTATCTCCAGAAAAGCGTCAAGTGGAGTGCAAATGGGTCTTTACAACCAAATATAACCCAGATGGGAATGTGAATCGGTTTAAGCCCCGCCTAGTAGCCAAAGACTATACTCAATCATATTGTGTAGACTATTTGGAGACGTTTGCACCAGTTGCCAAGCACAATACTATTTGGGTACTTCTCTCACTTGCATTTAATTTTGATTGGCCACTTTATCAACTAAATGTAAAGAATGCATTCCTTTATGGCGATTTGGAAGAAGAAGTGTATATGGATATACTATCAGGGTTTGAAATAACAGACAATCCTCAGAAAGTGTATAAACTGAAGAAATCACTCTATGGCCTAAAACAATCTCCAAGGGCATGGTTTGATAAATTCACAAGAGTCGTAAAGCATGAAGGATATGAACAATGTCAATCCGATCATACACTGTTTGTCAAACACTGCATCTCAGGTAAAAAAGCTATTTTGATTGTATACGTTAATAATATCATTCTTACAGGAGATTCAGAAATTCAAAGAATTCCTGATCAGAGAATTTGAAATAAAAGATCTTGTGGTACTGAAATACCCTCGGTATAGAAGTTGCTAGATCCAAAAAAGAAATTTCAGTATTTCAACGAAAGTACGTTCTGGATCTCTTAAAGAAGACTGGGATGTTAGGAAGCAAACCCGCTGACACCCCGATGGATTCAGTTATCAAACTTGAATCCAGAATCAGTGATAAAATGGTTGACAAAGGAAGATACCAGAGACTTGTTAGGAAACTTATCTACTTAACACATACAAGACCAAACATCAGTTTTGCAGTGAATACAGTAAATCAATTCATGAATCATCCAATTGAAGATCACATGAGAGCTGTGTATCGAATTCTGAAGTATCTCAAGATAACTCCAGGACAAGAATTGTTCTTTCAGAAAACAGAAAGAAGAAGTATTGAAATTTACATTGATGCAGATTGGACAGGTTCTACAGATGACAGAAGATCTATATTAGGATATTATACCTATATTTGGGGTAACCTGGTTACCTGGAGAAGTAAGAAACAGTCGGTTGCGTCTCGCAACAGTGCAGAATCTGAATTTAGGGCGCTTGCTCATGGTATTTGTGAAAGGTGTATGTTTGAATAGGATACTTGAAG